TTAGACCTATACAAAATTCATTTCCATATTCATCATTTGTGCATGTTTGACAGGCCACATTTTGTAATACAATAAAGTGCCTATTTTCCTAAATATTAAAAACTGACTTTTTTCCTTTTATCAAAATATATGCCATCATATCTATCATAGCGATTGTTTCTTAATGTTGTGCTTTGAATCTGTATTAATCTATTTTCCCACTGCACATGACTTTTGTGTGCATTACAGGTCGTATGCTTCTTAGGAAATAATTCAAGAAAGGTTTCATTTTCTATAGATCACAATAAAGCAATAACTATAAACAATAAGACAAAAATATTTTTAATGTCCATTTTATCCTGCCATGGAAGTGTAACTTCTGCCAAAAATGCTTTTCTTTCTGCCCCATTTCATTCTTCAGATAGTACATAAAATGTCACTTGGGAGAGAGTTTGCTAAATACATAGAGATTTTTTGGATTACATTACACTGCTTGCTCCATTCAAAGATTAGTTAAATTTTGTGATTGTTAGTTTGGTTTATTATTTCTGATTGTCAGCCACACCCAGGATGGCAGAAGTGATGTCTCTTTAGTTCACTTTCAAGAAGCAGGTCAGCAGTGGATCTTCAACCCACCTTATTTTGTTGTTGTTGTGTTTTGTTTTGCTTTAGGCGTTTAGCAGCCAGAAACTACGGTTTTTAGCTTCTGCTTCTAGTGATAGGTGGAAAAGAGAGATGAGAAAGGGGTTTTACTAGCCCAGCCAGAAACAGAAACTAAGAACCCATGACTGTGTTCTCTCCCTTGGATGCCCTTAGACAAAGGGCCTCCAAGGGATCTAGAATTCTCAGATCACAGGTTTAGTTAGTGGGAAGTATAAACTGTTACCTGAAGGATGAGAAGCCAGGAGAAAGAGGGCTTGTGGAGAGGGGGGAGCCTGCTCCTGCAGAGCAAACAGGTCGTACCAAGGAGAATGTGGAGGTGAGGTTGTGCAAGGAATAGACACATCCAGCGTGGGAGACACAGGGAACGTGGAAGATGAAGTGACAAAGAGGAGACCAGAGGGATGAACATGCCTGGACCCCAAAGTGTCTTTAAGCTATGATGAGGAGATTGAATGAACTCAAAGGAAACTGTCAGGATCAGATGACTAATTGTTGTGTGGTTTAATAGGAGATATTTTGGCATAAATATATTCCAAGTGGAAGTATATCCAATGTATTCCTGAAATACTCTAAAAGATTTATGGTGAAAATAGTTGATAGTTTGAAGCTGTAGAATATTTATATGAAGAGGTAGTAGTTCTGGATTCAAATTTCCTCAGTTTCCAAACTGGGTTGACCCCTTGTAACTGTATGACTTGGATGTATACATCAGAGGCTAAGCCCTAGTTTCTTTATCACTAAGATGAGGATAATAATAGTACTGAGTATTCCACTGATTAACATTAATATTATAGACAAATTGAAACTGCAGCTTTATTACATGAAATACAGAGCACTTTCCTATGCATTTCCTGTTTTTTAAGTACACCATTTCTCTTTCAAAAGGCAGGGGGAAAAACACACAAAAAGTAAATGGTACAATTAGTATGTCAAGGTGACATTGTAATGACTTGTATAACACAGAGAAAACCATATACCTTGCCTACAAGACACCTAGGGCTAACAAATCTGCAGGCATTTTCCTTTTGATAGTCATAAGATTCAATGAGGTTCATGCTATTTTTGTCTCCTTTTACACTAAGGATATTGAGTCAAAGGCAATTTATGTAATTTGTCCAAGATCATTGTCTAAAATGGGGCAGAGTAAGACTATCCAGTAGAGGCTGGAGTCCACTCTCTTACATATTAAGTTCTTCTTTGGCAACAAATAATATTTTTTAGTGATATTATGTATACTTTGTAGGCCCTTAACATTTTATTTATTTGGTTATGTACTACATTCAAAAATATTTGCAGGAATCATGGTGGCCTCATTGTATGGGCATTTTTACAATGCAAAAATCAGTACAAGAAACCGGAGTCAACAGCATTAAAATATTTCCCCATGTGTCAGTGGTCCTGTGCTACAGGATCACTACAAATATGTCCTACAACCACTGGCAAATATGTTCATAGTTGTCTAAGCTAAAACACCAAGAGTTCACACATTTGTATAGGGAAATAAAGACTTTAGTACATACATATGTGTGTTAACTCTCCTCATCTCAAGCAAGTTTTCCTTGCCTGAGAAAACTTTTTAAAATGGGAAATACTCTTCAAGTTCAAGGACTGACTGATGAAGCCCAGATCATTTTTATTTAGTCAGATGTGAAGAAATACACAGTTAATTGGTAGGCAAGGTCTCAATGTACCAGAATCCAATCATAGAGTCTTCAAAACACTAGTGAAATAAAAGTTAATGAGACATTTTAAAGACATTACAATTTTATGATACCGATTTATTTTGAAAACTGGCAAGGATAAATTTAAGTTTAATATGCTGAATTAAATTCTCTGTCTGCACTTTGTGATTACAACCAGAAGAAATATCATTAAATAGTGAATAGTGAATATATGTATATGTAAATATATATATATATATATATATATATATATATATATATATATATATATATATGCTGTGTTTCTAATTAAGAGTTCCTTTTGTTCTTTTCTTTTTTATATTGGTCTTGGAATTTAGTGAGTTATATTCTTATTGCCCACTGAATTATAATAAATGAAGGGAACAAAATACTCCAAATCAGCAATAATTGAAACATGATTGGACATATACCAATGCTAACAAAAATAATTACAACCAGGCATCTGTATTATTATAGCAAATATTATAATGAGGAGTGAAGTGGTTGATATCACTATAGAACACTTTTTAAATGTTTTTTTCTATAATTAAAAGTTAATATTAAGTTTAATAATATCAGATCTCTTAATTAGATAGCCTTAATATTCATCTTTTAAAAAGATTATATAGTCTTTTTTTCCAATGATTAAAGACTTATTTTGTAAGTTAGTTGAAGTAATGAAACCCATTCAGTTGATTAAACAGATGGATCATAAAGAGGCGATTTATGATGTGTAACTATATAAAAGCAAATGAAAAAAAGTGAGAGGATTTAATGTCATGCACATAAAATATTATCTAAGATTATTTACACCAGAAAAGCATATCTGAGAATAAAAATGGGTAATTATATCCAGCCATGGAACTTATATTAATTTACAAATTAAGCTGCATGTTTTCAGCACTTATTTTAAAGCAAAAATTTTACTTACTATATCCTCAATATACCTACATTACTATGTTGAATAAAGAAATGGGTATCTGTATTGTTACATATGGTATGCCTTTATTAATTAATTTGTGTTTTGGTATTTATATGGAAAGTTGATTTCAATTCCTTTACAAAGCTTTGCAGTGGGCTAAGACTCTGTGTAGTATTATCGATGCTGTAAAGTTTTCTCATTTCCAAGAGACAGTCATTACTTAATCAGTACTCCTTAGACCACCTTGACCATACCTAAGAATCTAATACTGACTTGACATATATTACATCATAAACAAAATGATTGAACAAATACATATATTTGTTATAATGTAAATTATGTATCTTTAAAACTTAACTGTGCTTGTCTGATCCACCAGACTGCAAAATCTTTGACACACAAGAATCATGTCTTTTTCATAATATTTTATTTTTAGAGCTTATCACAGCATTAACCACAGTAATAAATTAGTTCATGTATAAGTTAGATGTGCTTTTGCTTGAAAATAACAGAAAGCTCAACTAACATAACTTAAATAAATATAGGTTATCCTGCTCACATAGTAAAGAAGTCAGAAGTATGCATTCTAGGTGTCATGCCACAATTCACACCTTAAATCAGGCTCTTTATCTTTATGATTCACCATTTTGAATGTTATGAGAAGGCTGTTATACTTACTTTCTTCCAGAACCACATCCTTTTTCAAACACAAGGAAGGTAGAGGAAAGAAAGTTCCTCATTGTGATCTTCCCATATTTTTCTAGATGGGGAAACCTTCTCAGTATACTTCATCTCACATCCCAGCAGCCAGAGCCAGGCCATAGGCCTGTCATGAAACTAGTCAACAGTCAGGCATCGTGGAAAAGGTAGACTATGGTTTAACCTCTGGGATTGGGATAGAGGCCTATTCGCCCATAGATCAATAGGTTCTGCATTCTGCCTGAAAAAATTGAGGCTTAATTAGCAGGAAAAAAGAAAACCATTAAGTAGTTATTGGACCTTAAATATTACAGTTTGTATTTCGTAGTGGACAATATTATAATAGATATGACCTGAATAGAAGTGGATTTGTCAAAATGAATTTTTTATGTCATATGCTATCTTAAATTGCATCTTTATATTTTTACTTGTATTTGTTTGGCAAAAGTAAATATGAGCATTTTCTATTTCTTAGTGGATAGTTACAAATATTTAAATTCCTCTATATTTTTAGTTAGATTGGAAAAATATGCAATATTGAAAAGATGGGGCTGGATGCGGTGGCTCACGCCTGTAATCCCAGCACTTTGAGAGGCCAAGGCAGGTGGATCACGAGGTCAGTTCAAGACCAGCCTGGCCAAGATGGTGAAACCTCATCTCTATTAGAATACAAAATTTAGCCAGGCGTGGGTGGTGGCGCATGCCTGTAATCCCAGCTACTCAGGAGGCTGAGGCAGCGGAATCGCTTGAATCTGGGAGGCAGAGGTTGCAGTGAGCCAAGATTGGGCTACTATACTCCAGCCTGGTGACAGAGCAAGACTCTGCCTCAAAATAAATAAATAAATAAATAAATAAAAGAGAAAAATAAAAAAACAAGCAAAAAAAAGAAAAAAAAAAGCAAAGCAAGAGACACACAAACAAGCAAATGCATGTAAAGCAATGTATTTTTTTGAGAAAAGATGCATTGTTTTCATAAATTTTCAAAAATATAGGTCTTGTTCTTGTAATTGCAAGGGATATTTCAGAGTGAAATTATGTTCTCTATCTTTTCTTAGGTCTTAAAGATAAATATGAATTTAGATTCCATTCATCGATTGATTGAGGAAACGCAGATCTTCCAGATGCAGCAGTCATCAATTAAGTCACACTGTGACATGGTGGCACCTGCCTCACCCACCAGGCATACCTATAATACCTGCTTCCCATTTTATGGGCTACAATCTCACACTGCTCACAATTTATGTGCACATTCATGTAACACCAGTGAATGGGATATTTGTGAGGAACTTCGCCTCCGGGAACTTGAAGAAGTCAAGGCCAGAGCTGCTCAGATGGAAAAGACCATGCGGTGGTGGTCGGACTGCACTGCCAACTGGAGAGAAAAATGGAGTAAAGTTCGAGCGGAAAGGAACAGTGCCAGGGAGGAAGGAAGACAACTCAGACTAAAACTAGAGATGGCAATGAAAGAATTGAGTACACTGAAAAAGAAACAGAGTCTGCCACCTCAGAAGGAGGCATTAGAAGCTAAAATCACCCAGGATCTGAAGCTTCCTAGTTTCGTAGAAGAATCCTGTGAACATAGAGAACAATTTCAATTTGGTTTTCAAATGTGTGAGTCTATCAGAGAGTGTTTAGTAAAAAGACAATTTTCTACAAAGGAGGAAACAAATAATAAGGTAAGAAAAAAACCCAGAGGTGATGTGACAGTGAGGAAGAAGGAAGTGACAAATCCAATGGTGGCTACGCTAGTCTGCCAGGGCTACCATAACAAAGTACCCTAATCAGGGTGGTTTAAGGAAGAGAATGCATTTTCTTACAATTGTAGAAGCTAGAAGTACACCATCAAGGTGCTAGCATGGTTGGTTTCTTCTGAGGCCTCTCTCCTTGGCTTATAGAATGCTGTTTTCTCCCTGTCTTCCATGGTCTTTTCTCTGTACACATGTCTGTGTCTTAAGTTCTTTTAGGACACTCTAATGAACCTAATTTAACTAAATCATCTTCCTAAGTCCCTGTCTTCACCAACAATCACATTCTGAGGTACTGGGTTAGGACTTCAACAAATAAATTTTGGGAAAGCACACTTTCAGCCCATACCAGTTGTTTTACTAGTATTTATAGGAAAAAAAAAAAAAAAAACTCAGCATTTTTTTATCTGAAAAGAAAATATTTGGAGACATTTCTTTCCATTTCCCTTAATTTGTCAAAATTGTAAACAAGGCATAGCGTAGTTTGAATATTTCTCAAAGTTTGGGACTCAAGCCTCATGATTTAACTTCTTATAAAATGGGTACTGCAGGCAAATAGGGTACTTTAGGAAATGCTTCATAGGGTCCACTGACGGGATTTCTTGATATACTTAGAATATCAGTTTCTGAGAATTCTGTACAAAACAAGTATAACTTTAAAACGTCTATCAGTTTGTACACTTATTCATCCATGAACCATCACCCTGTTTCGTTTGTTTGTTTGTTTGAACTTGGTAAATACTATTAACAACCCAAAGAACATACTTTGGGAACTCCTGTTACCTCTTATCATAATATCAGTTTATTTTGTTACCTCTTTCTACTTAATCCCATCTCTATTACATATTAGTTAATATCTGGCACCTCTACCATTGCATTTAGTGTTTTAAGCTATTCTATAATGTATAGAATTTACGGAAGGTAAAACCTAGAATTCATTGCAAATAAAATAATGAAGATTACAATAATGTAATTACTTCTTCTTATTTGTTCTTCTACATTTTCTTTTAAAAGCATTCAGTGTTGGTAATCTAGGTTGTTAGTACCTTTGTATGTATCTTTTGGAAAATCATATATTCTCAAAATTGAGCTATATTAATGTTTGCACTAGAGGAATGCAATGATGAGCATAAGGGAACATAGCTCACATAATGTTCTCTGAATCCACAAAACTATTTTGTTATTACAAGTTACTAGACTTTGCATTTGAGAGAATGAAGGATTCTCTTCACATGTATTATTATGGAAAATTTTCAATATCTTGGGATTTCTTCTGAAATATCTTTGTAACATTAATGTCAAGAAAAAATCAAACATAGCAGGTATTTATTAAAATTTATTTATTTGCTAAAAATCCTTCTGGAATTTCCTTCTGATAGTAGGAAAATAAATATTACCTGTTGAAGAAGTTTTAATCAGTTTTTTCCTTAAAATTTTGACCTCTCTTTGCCAACTCTGTGCCCAACAAGAAAGATATGTATATGTATCATTCGCCTGACTTCAATACTTTCCATGAACAATACATCTTATTTTATTGTTTGTCAAAATATTATGATACAGATAATTGCAATACTCATTTTTGAGAGAATTAAGGAATGAATTATACTAGGTAATCTGGCATCCATATATTATTTAAAACATATAGTATTGAAGTATTATGGAGATTTTACTTGAGCTTGATTATTCAATGAGATTTTATTTGAAATTGCCTTTCACTTCAAACTTATAAACTAGGGTAAATTTAAATTATAGTCAAAACCAATAGCATGAGTCATGTGAAGTTTTTGAGTTATGCACTAAGAGTATTGATGCAGTTGCTGCCCTAGTATTGATGTCCATATCAAGTGTCCCATTAAATTCTATTTGAGATGTGACTCATGAATTAAAATAAAGCAATAAGTAGAACTAAAATAAAGCAATAAGTGAGCTTATTAAAATATTCAAGAGCTTTCTGAAAATTCTATCTTGTCTTTCAAAAATGTTAAAAAAATAATTACTTTGAAACTATGTCTTATGACAAGAGAAACTTGAAAAAGAATTCGTCAACTCATTAAAAAATTCTTTACAGCTGTTCAACTTTGTGTATGGTTATTTTTAGCTATGATTAGAAAAAGAAAACAAACAAAGAGCTAAAGCAGACCTTTTTAGAAATGTATTTTATTATAACAAGGTAGAACATAGAAAAGTTTGAAGAAGAACGTAAGTAAGTTCAGTCATGTAACACTTTCAGGTAATGATAATGAAATAAAAATATGGATTTGATGTTGTATCGTAACATTTATTTCTTTATGAAAATGTATTGTTGTCATGATTTTTCTCCTAAGGGGTTTAAATATCTAACATAATTTTTTTTTTTCCCCAGGAAGAAGGAGTGGTTATTGATTCTTTAAAATTAAATGAGGAGATGAAACCTAATCTAGATTGTGTTGATTTATTCAAGAATGGTGGCTCTGGAAATGGTGAAATGAAACCTGGGCTGAAACTGAAAGCGATAAACCTGCCTTTGGAAAATCAAATAACTGAAATTTCAGCTTTGCAGGTGCATTTGGATGAGTTCCAAAAAATCTTATGGAAGGAAAGAGAGTAAGTGCTAATCATTCTCTACCTTAACCAAGTTTGTTTTAAACCACTTAAAATTGTTAACACTGATAGATTGGTCATTTGATAAACATGCCTTTTATCCATGTTTAGTCATTAAGTTTTAGTATTTAAAGAAATTAGTTTGATATATTTTGAATTTTAAAAAGTAATCTATAACTTGTTAGTGTTCTTCATTCTTTTAAATTTACTTTTATCATGACTATGTTCTTACCATCTCTGGTAGATTCACTTTAATTTTACCTGAATTCTTAATGTACAAGGTTAAAATATCCAGCGTATTATATAATTTTTACAGCATCTTGGACTTGGTCAATAAATATGTTAATTTTAATAGTGGAAAAAAATCACAATTGTGTGAGATACTGATTACAGAATAAGCTGTCTTATACATGGACCATTAAGGTCCTCAGGCTTGTGATTAATTGGCCTGGATATTCATCTTTGTTCTGATGTATTCTAGCAATGGGACGTTGGCTGTTGCCCCTTTTAGGAAAATAGCTGTAGTGATGTTATGTTCCAGTTTTCTATTGTCTTAAAACAAGCTTTTTCAAACAATGATCATTAAAACGTATCAACAACAACCACTATGTCTTCTGTTTAAGAATCTTGAGCATGGTTTGGCATGGATATCCTTATCTCTGACTTGTGCCTTCAGCTGCAATGTCTCAAACTCTGGCATGCCTGTAAGGCTGGGGCTAGAGCCTCTCTCACTCATATATCTGGCGGTCCATCTCAGTTCTCATCTAGGCCTCAGCTGGGACACCTGCATTGGGGCTATTTATAAGCCTGTTTGGCTTCCTCACAACATCAGGGCTAGGTTGCAAGTGAACATCTTAAGAACACAGAGAGAAGAAAACGCCATTTGAATGACTCTGCCTCACAAATCACTTAGCATCACTTCAGACCCACTTCTCAGTGGTGGGCATCTCAAAGGCTGACTCAGATTCAAGAGAGAGGCACTTTCAATGGAAGGAATGTCAAAACAATTTTATAATAAGGGTGTGTAGGATGCAGTCATTGTGGCAAAGATCTTTGAAAAATACAGTCTGTCATAGCCTTTCTCACTGAATTCTCATGAAGATCAAGAACAAATAATGTCTGGGGAAAAACCTAGTAATATGAAATGTTCACTATGGATTTTTGTTTCTTTGTGATTAGCCTACAATTTTATTAGCACAATGTGGAATATCAAATATATGTTAAAATGTGGTTCCAAAATCTAAAAATAATTATTTTTTATCTCTTAGTTATAAAGTATTAATGAGCAGAACCGGAAAAGCGAGAGGGATATGTATGCATATATACACACAATATATTATATAAATATAAGTATATATTATATAATGATTTTAATTTTCCTGATTTAAATGAACGGAAATAGGGATAATTCTGCATACTAGCCATTCAGAAATACAGTTAGTTCTTTATCTACCACTTATTTTCTGCCAGAAGTTTCTCATTAATCCCTCTGAAATTTACTAGTGCCACCACTTCCTTTTTTAGATTCTTCTTCTATATTTCACTAGATGAATAGATTGTGATCATACAAGCATCTGTGTGCAGAATAAGTACTTATTACTCTACTAAGTGTACATTCCTAAGAGAGGCAACCAACATTAGCGGAAAAAAGAATAAAATTGAATTGGATTTTTAGGCTTGTACATATAGTGACAATTAATTTTATCTAGACCTACAAATGTCAGGCACGTTCTAATCTCTATGCTTTTATTTCTTGAAGGATTTAACTTTTTGGAAATTATAGACTTCTCTCCAGTCCACTCACAATATTACTTCCCTGATGCAGTCTAATAGGAGCAATGTAGAGCTGTGTTTTTCTAGATGTAAACTTTTCTATTCTAAGGTGTCAATTTTAAAGATATGCATATACTGTCTTTACATGTTTATCCACATGCATGCACACAACATATACTTTTTCCTGTCATGGAATAAATGAACAATTCCCAGAGGAAACAAATTCTCCAGTTCTCAGTGACTTCAGTCTATAATCTATAGACAGGTCAAAGAATAAGAGAAAAAAGGAGACTTTCCATGGCCTTGTCTTCCCACGCTCCTCTTTAAGAAACAATCCCACGGATGTTATGAGTCATGGTGCCTGTGTCCGTGAATCAACATTTGCATGCAATCCACATGAGGCAATCACAGTCTTTTTTTTTTTTTTTTTTTCCTATCACAAGAGAACGTTTTCCAAGAATATAGGATATGCTATTACTTATAAATCCATCTAATCTTTTAAATTCTTTGTCCTGGAATCTCAGTGAGTGGGTGGCTTGAATTGAGAAGATGTGGATGTATTTTTTTTCTGCATTCCTATCTAGTGGGAAAATTCTCTTCTTGACTAGTGCACAGAAATCAGCTTAGAAATTCAGGGAGTCATTTTTCTATCGTCCTTGACTAGAATCTCCTATTCAAATAGATGAAACTTTATTGATTTATTTGCACTCTTAGTACTGTTCAGTTTTATGAATAATTCTCCTGTATATAAAAGTTTCTCATACACTGAGACTTTGTATATTTCTGATGACTTTCATAAAGACTTCCCAGATAGAAAACTTGGAGTAAAACCAGGAAACCTGATCCTATTGTAGAGCTGTGTGTACCTAAACATTTAAGAAAAGAAGCTTTGGCAATACCAAATCCCAAGTAACAGAGACTTAGATAAAATATTTTGAACTGTCTTAACATTCAAAATCAGTTTTCAGATTCCACTGCAGATACCTCCTTCATCACTTATAAAATGTTTGTTTTGTGTCTTTTAAGCTGAGCTTCAGGCTGGAGTGCAATGGTGCAATCTCTACTCATTGCAACCCCAGCCTCCTGGGCTCAAGCCATCCTCTCACCTGAGCCTCCCGATTAGCTGGAATTACAGGCTGTGCCACCATGCCTGACTAATTTTATTTATTTTTTAAATTTTCAGTAGAGATGGGGTTTTGCCATATTGCCCAGGCTGGTCTCAAACTCTTGGCCTCAAGTGATCTACCTGCCTTGGTCTCCCAAAGTTCTGGGGTTACAGGGGTTAGCCACTGCGCCCAGCCCATTTTATCTTCTTAATTAATTTTTTTATGCAAGGAAAGTAGTATGCTTCAATTGTTTTGCTTTGCTTCACTAAATGTTCAATTTTTTCTTAATAATATGATACTTAAAATCCAGGTTAGAAGTTTCAGCAAATTAAAAATGTTTCAAAGGTTATTTTTTATATATGCATGAGAGAGACAGATTTCTACTTTATATATATAGATATATATTTCAATTAGTGAATACATTCATTAATACATATGTTATACATAATTATATATTTATATATAATGAACATATATCTCAATTAATTAATAAATTGGCATGTAAATCTAGTTAATACTGCTTAATGTAATATTTATAAATATTAGAAAGTCAAGCTTACTTTGTTTCTTTATTAACTGTCACTTATGGAATATTCAATAAACCTTTACCATTTTTTTTTTTTTTTGAGACGGAGTTTCTCTTTTGTTACCCAGGCTGGAGTGCAATGGCGTGATCTCAGCTCACCGCAACCTCCGCTTCCTGGGTTCAGGCAATTCTCCTGCCTCAGCCTCCTGAGTAGCTGGGATTACAGGC